TAAAATTTGGACTGGAAAATATTAACAAGATATTAGTAGGAAAGTGATGTAGAGCAGAGTGATAACATTTTCACAAGCCTTTGTTTTGACGTATCTGCCAAAATGTGCCAGAAAGTGATGTAGAGCAGAGTGATAACATTTTCACAAGCCTTTGTTTTGACGTATCTGCCAAAATGTGCCAGAAAGTGATGTAGAGCAGAGTGATAACATTTTCACAAGCCTTTGTTTTGACGTATCTGCCAAAATGTGCCACTTGTTCAGGCAATCATAATGAACCCAAAGTGGAAAGATTGCCCTTAAAAGCTACATTTGGCCAGAGAGCCAAGTGGGGTGGGACTAGAGCCAATGAGACTCAGGGAACCGAGATTATTTATTCATTTATTCATTTATTCACTTATTCACTTATTTAAATGTATTTGCCACCCAACTCCAGTGGACTTTGGGCAGCATACAAAATTAGAAGAAAAAAATACCTGAAAACAGCTAACATTAAAGCAGATAGACAGCCCAAACTAAAATGATCGAATAAACAACAAAATCAACAAAAGAAAACAGGGGCCTTAAAGAAATAATAACCATCAGCCCCAGGCCTGGGACCAAAGCCAGGTTTTCAAACCTTTCCGGAACCCTTGGAGAGAGGGCACCGTCCGTATCTTGGGGGGGAAGCTGTCCCAGGGGGTCAGGGCCACAACAATGAAAGCGTGCTTCCTTGGTCCCACAAAATGACAATGTTTAATGGTGGGGAACTGGAATGCACCCATTATGCTTGAATGTACTAGGCAGGCAGAAACAAGTGGAGACAAGCGGACTTTCAGATATCCAGGCCATATACCATACAGGGCTTTATAGGTAATAACCAGCATCTTGAATTGCATCCAGAAGCCAACTGGCAGCCAACGCAGCTCGCGTAGCAGTGGTGACATGTGGGCACGCCAAGAGCTCTGAGGGAGGCAGAATCCAAGCCTTGCAATACCTCCTCCAGCAACAGAGACAGTGTAAAGAATAATTATAGGGCTGTGCCTGGCTAGCATTGATGAGATATAGAAAAATAAGTGGATCTGTTGTAAAACCCATTTTAAGTTATTTAATAAATAGCATTGATGAGATATAGAAAAATAAGTGGATCTGTTGTAAAACCCATTTTAAGTTATTTAATAAATTAATTAAGGGTTTATTCTATCTTATTTCATCTCCATGTTTCACCCTTTGGGGATGGAAAGAACTTGACGGCACAGAGCACAAACATAAGGAAAGAAAAGATCCCCACAAAAAGGAGGGGAGGAGATCATTAGCTACTTCCCTGACGTGTCTGCCACTCTGGACTTGAATTTCTTTCTCTACTTTCCAGTTTGGGCTGATCTGGAGATTTGTCCTGTGTTCAAAGATGTATTGCACTTCTCCTTGGATGTCAAGGGACTTGACCTCTTTTGGCTCTGCTCTGTGATCATCCAAGAGCAAGATTTGTCTGAAGGCCAGTCCTTCCAATGGCTACGTATAGCCTTCTCTGCAGGAGCCCCTGCCCTTTGGAACACCCTTCCCCCAGAAGTGAGGTTGGCCCCCTCCCTCGTAGACTTCAGAAAAAACTGAAGACCTGGTTTTGTTATTATGCACGCAGTGGGGGTGGGAATGGTCAGTTTTGGGGATGGCTGGTTCCCTAGTCCTACCTCACCAATATTATCTGGTCCCAGGCTGCAACAATACCACCATCGCTTGG